ACTTCCCGTTCACCACAACCACATACCCCCCCCACCACAACCCAACTATCCCTCCCCCACAACCACACTACCCCCCTCCACCCACAACCCCACTATCCCGTCCCCACAAAACCACACTATCCGTCCACCACAACCACACTACCCGTCCACCACAACCACACTATCCCGTTCACCACAACCACACTACCCCGTCCACCACAACCACACTATCCCGTCCACCACAACCACACTATCCCGTCCACCACAACCACACTATCCCGTCCACCACAACCACACTATCCGTCCACCACAACCACACTATCCTGTCCACCACAACCACACTACCCCGTCCACCACAACCCACTATCCCGTCCACACAACCACACTATCCCGTCCACCACAACCACACTATCCCGTCACCACAAACCACACTATCCCGTCCACCACAACCACACTATCCCGTCCACCACAACCACACTACCCCGTCCACCACAACCACACTATCAAGTCCACCACAAACACACTATCCCGTCCACCACAACCACACTATCCCGTCCACCACAACCACACTATCCCGTCCACCACAACCACACTATCCCGTCCACCACAACCACACTATCCCGTCCACCACAACCACACTAACCCCGTCCACCACAACCACAACTATCCCGTCACCACAACCCACTATCCCGTCCACCACAACCACACTATCCTGTCCACCACAACCACACTTATCCCGTCCACCACAACCACACTATCCCGTTCACCACACCCACACTACCCGTCCACCACAACCACACTATCCCGTCCACCACAACCACACTATCCCGTCCACCACAACCACACTATCCCGTCCACCACAACCACACTACCCGTTCACCACACCCACACTACCGTCCACCACAACCACACTATCCCGTCCACCACAACCACACTATCCCGTCCACACAACCCACTATCCCGTCCACCACAACCACACTATCCCGTCCACCCAACCACACTACCCGTCACCACAACCACAACCCTGTCCACCACAACCACACTATCAAGTCCACCACCACCACACTATCCCGTCCACAACCACACTATCCGACCACCACAACCACACTATCCTGTCCACCACAACCACACTATCCTGTCCACCACAACCACACTATCCTGTCCACACAACACACTACCCCGTCCACCACAACCACACTATCCTGTCCACCACAACCACACTATCCTGTCCACCACAACCACACTATCCTGTCCACCACAACCACACTATCCTGTCCACCACAACCATACTATCCTGTCCACCACAACCACACTATCCTGTCCACCACAACCACACTACCCCCCGTCCACCACAACCACCGTATTCCGTCCAACAGAACCACATTACCCCGTCCACCACAACCCACACTATCCGTCCACCAAAAACCACACTATCCCGTCCACCACACACCCACTATTCCGCTTACCACAACACCAACATAACCCCACCACCCCACACACCATCCCGCCCCCACAACCACCCCCACAACCATCTTGCCAGCTAAAACCATCCCCCACACACCATTTACAACACACACAATACAACCACACCCACACTATCCCGCAGACCACACACACCCACACTATCCCGCAGACCACACACACCCACACTATCCCGCAGACCACACACACCCACACTAATCCCGCAGACCACACACACCCACACTATCCCGCAGACCACACACACCCACACTATCCCGCAGACCACACACCACCCACACTATCCCGCAGACCACACACACCCACACTATCCCGCAGACCACACACACCCACACTAATCCCGCAGACCACACCACACCCACACTATCCCGCAGACCACACACACCCACACTATCCCGCAGACCACACACACCCACACTATCCCGCAGACCACACACACCCACACTATCCGCAGACCACACACACCCACACTATCCCGCAGACCACACACACCCACACTATCCCCAGACCACACACAACCCACACTATCCGCAGACCACACACACCCACACTATCCCGCAGACCACACACACCCACACTACCCCGCAGACCACACACACCCACACTATCCCGCAGACCACACACACCCACACTATCCCGCAGACCACACACACCCACACTATCCCGCAGACCACACACACCCACACTATCCCGCAGACCACACACACCCACACTATCCCGCAGACCACACACACCCACACTATCCGCAGACCACACACACCCACACTATCCCGCAGACCACACACACCCACACTATCCCGCAGACCACACACACCCACACTATCCCGCAGACCACACACACCCACACTATCCCGCAGACCACACACACCCACACTATCCGCAGACCACACACACCCACACTATCCCGCAGACCACACACACCCACACTATCCCGCAGACCACACACACACCACACTATCCCGCAGACCACACATCCCGCAGACCACACACACCCACACTATCCCGCAGACCACACACACCCACACTATCCCGCAGACCACACACACCCACACTATCCCGCAGACCACACACACCCACACTATCCGCAGACCACACACACCCACACTATCCCGCAGACCACACCACCCACACTATCCCGCAGACCACACACACCCACACTATCCCGCAGACCACACACACCCACACTATCCCGCAGACCACACACACCCACACTCCACACCATACTCCCACCACACCCCCACACCACAGCACACCATCCCGCCCACCACACCCCAACCCTATCCCGCCCACCACACTCCATACCATACCACCCACCACTCCACACCATCCCGCCCTCCCCCACCTACCCACCCACCACTCCTCCACTTTCCATTCCCCTACACCATCCCGCCCCCACACTCCACACCATACCACTCACCACATCAGCCACACCACGCCATCCCGCCCACCCCTACAATCCTACACACCACACCTTCACATTGCATTCTCCCACACAATCTCGACCACTACAGCCCGCACCATTCTGCCCACCACATCCTCACATTCTACAACCCAACACCAGCCCTCCCACAACACCCACACCAACCCTTCCCACAACCCACACCCAACCCTCCCACAACACCCCACACCAACCCTCCCACAACACCCACACCAACCCCCCACAACACCCACACCAACCCTCCCACAACACCGACACCAACCCTCCCACAACACCCCCACACCATCCCTCTCACAACACCCCACACCATCCCTCCCACAACACCTCCACATAATTCCTCTCACAACACCCCCACACCATCCCTCTCACAACACCCCCACACCATCCCTTTCACAACACCCTCACACCATCCCTCCCACAACACCCTCACACCATCCCCTCCACAAACACCCCCACACCATCCCTCCCACAACACCCCCCACACCAATCCCTCTCACAACACCCTCACACCATCCCTCCCACAACACCCCCACACCATCCCCTCTCACAACACCCTCACACCATCCCTCCCACAACACCCCCACACTATCCCTCTCACAACACCCTCACACCATCCCTCCCACAAAACACATCCCCCCACACCATCCCTTCACAACACCCTCACACCATCCCTCCACAACACCCTCACACCATCCTCCCACAACACTCCCACACTACCTCCCACACACCCTCACACCATCCCTCCCACACACACCCCCCCACACCATCCCTCCCACAACACCCAACACATCCTCCCATCCACAACACTCCAACATTCCCTCCCACAACACCCTCCACAACATTTCCCTCCCACAACCCCACATAATTCATATCATCCCCTTCCATAAATCATTCTTACTTACACCTTATCCTTCCCTACATTATCTCTATTCTTCAAGCTGGCACTGGACAAGCACCTAAAGTCAGTTCCTGATCAGCCGGGCTGTGGCTCGTACGTTGGTTTGCGTGCAGCCAGCAGCAACAGCCTGGTTGATCAGGCTCTGATCCACCAGGAGGCCTGGTCACAGACCGGGCCGCGGGGGCGTTGACCCCCGGAACTCTCTCCAGGTAAACTCCAGATCCCCTCCTATACACCTTCCCCAGATCCTCTCTCTTCCCTAACCCCTTCCTTCCCCACACCCTGCCCTCTCTAACGCTCTCTCACACAATACTCTCACTTTCTCTCCTCCAGCATATTCTTGCATTACCATCATTAAAGCTTCTGTTTTGTACTCGTGTTTATGTTACTTCACCTCATGTGGAATTGTGATACTGGTTATGTGAGTCCCATCCTGGGTACTTTGGACCAAGGTGCTCCTGGGTATATGAGTCCCATCCTGGGTACTTAGGACCAAAGAGCTCCTGGGATGTGAGTCCCATCCTGGGTATTTTGGACCCAGGAGCACCTGGGTATGTGAGTCCTATCCTGGGTACTTAGGACCCAGGAGCTCCAGGGTATGTGAGTCCTATCCTGGGTATATGAGGCCCATTCAGATTACCCAGGACCCGGGCACTCATGGGTATACGATCCCCATGCTGTACACTAACGGAGGTTGCCTCTTTCATAAGCATTACTAAAACAAAACAAGGTAGTAACATCATCAGACAGATGGCGTCTACACAACACACAATAACCTCATCACTTGTAACAGGTCTTGACGAGCGAAGACAATCCTCTGAGGAAACAGGCAAAACTGGGCCCACTGAAGAAAAATCTTTAAATTCGTCCTGCTTGTTCCCTCAGTTTGCGATAGTATAATTAAGATTTTCGCGAGTAAGAGATTATAACGAACAAATATTTGCTTTTTGGGTTAATTCACTGTCCGAGCTTGGTGCTTAGTCGCGTTGAAATCACTTACAGTATATCGCGTTCCTATCTTTTCCTTTCAACGACACACATATCTGACCAAACACATTTTCAGTTTAGGTCCATGTTACTTATAACTACTGTCCAGGACCGGTCTTTCAGGTTTCCACGTATAGTAAGACAAGCAAAGGCTTCGGTCCAGGACAGGTCTTTCAGGTCTCTACGTATAACAAGACCAACACAGCGAGAGCGTCGCACCGTCACCTGCAGCGCTGCCTGCGCGCCAGTGATTATGTGAATGAGTGAAGAGCCAGGTAGACCCCGGCTTATATAGCCTCGTGAAGTGACGTCACACTTCAAGAGGATAAGATTTATTTACCTGTGTGGGCAATTGATCGTGTGGGCAATTGATCGTGTGGGCAATTGATCGTGTGGGCAATTGACATCTGCGTTGACAGTCGACGTCCGTGTGGGCAATTGGCCATGAATACTGTTCTAGAAATTGTCTTGGAGAGCGCTTATAAGCATGACGACCATCCGCATAAAGAATATTTGAGTTTACTGTTTGTTGTGGGTGCCATGTTTAAAAAAAAAAGTGTGGTAGCCCGACGGGAATAAAAGTAAAGTGGCTTTGCAGTAATAAATGCTATATTTAATAATTTTATAATTTTCGACAGTCATCTAAAGAAAGGCTTCAGTTAGTTTGATAGCTTATCACACGCCCGATACCCATCCCGTGGGAGGCAATGACCCCCATACCCATGGCTTGGGCTGTAGGCGCACCATACTCATTCTGTGGGCGGCAGTCACTCGATACCCATGAGCGTAGTCGAAGAATTACAGAGGCACATGGACTGGGCCATATCCTTGTTTGTTAAGCAAGTTACAGTGGTAATTAGCTATTTACAAATTTGTTGGCTACAGAACTGCATTAATGAGTTTACGTCGTTATGAATGCAGTCACTGTAACATTGCAGTATGCATTAATTATACGTTTCTGTGAATTTATTTTACAGTACCCAATGTTTAGCTATACCTAATTGAGTTTCTTCATATCGAAGTGATTATGAGTTATTTAAAATAGGCAGAGTCAGTGTAGGTTTCCAGAATGTTTGGTAATGTGTTACTCGGCATAAAATATTTTGCTATTTCTTAGAACATTTGTGGAGTTATTGTCGAATTCCTGCACTTAATGACCCAAGGTGTGACAATAGTTTCTCTGACAAAGTTTACATTTACTTATGTCTACATTAGCTGGTTGTGAAACAGTGATAACCAGGAATCTGTTGATTTTCTTGGATGCACCACAGACTTGTGGCTCATATTGTATGATAGGATAATGATAGATGGACTGACAATTGGTGCCAATCTTCTTCTTTTCATGTTTTTGTTCTCCTACTTCTAGCTGACAGCCCAAAGTTGTAATCTACTCCCTCCTTGAAGACATTCTCCTTTGCTAACTGATCAGTTTTATTGTACATTTGAAGGTCAGTGTAAGGGCGAATCTACAGGTGTTCGCTAACTACACTGTCTAAAACTCAACCATACATATGTTTTGCTTCTGGCACGAACATGTCACAATTGACATTCTTGAACTTTAAACCACATGTGGATGAGCTTACAATTAAGGCGTCAGTTTTAGATACATGGACACATTTGACTGCAATAGTATAGCAAACTATTCAGTTGATCAGTAGAAGCATAGCTATTGATTCGTGCCTCAATTTTTAGATAGAAGCCATTGCTCAGTATGACAACAAAGGCCAACTGCACCAATAGGTTGGCGAACAGAGCCATCAACACACATAATTTGTGAAAGGAAATGCTGTGTGATTAGGGCATGTGCAAGAGTTTGGGAAGACATTTCTTTCGGTGACACGATCTCTCATGCTTGGAATATCAAGTGCTTTAAGCATGTTTTCATTTTAGTAGCGCACGGACATCCAAGGATGATCCTCACTGCTTCGTTCTGCATTTTTTCAACTTCTCCAAACTTCCTGTCTGATAAAAGAGAAAGTATAGTGTGGCCTTGGACAGATTTTACGTTTTATTATATTCACGCATAATGCGCATGCAAGAAGTCTAGTAGCTATGCATTAAGATCCTTCATGAAGCAGACCAGTTGCAGTCTTAAGTGGCACGTAAGTCCCCCAGTCTTGTAATAACATGTTCATTTTTCCACTACAATCTACCTTGTCCATAATTACTGTCGCATTTGCTTTGTCTGTTTCGTAAGGTGAAGTCCAAGTTCTTTCCTTAATTTATGGTATAATTTAACAAATCTATGAGGACAATTGTACTGAAGAGACAGTGTTGTAGAGGTTGGAGAGGCCTGAGCAAAACTCAGACCTCTGCAACACAATTGTCCTCGTAGATTTAAGTTATATCATGAATTAAAGAAAGATCCTGGACTTCACCTTACGAAACAGACAAAGCAAATGTGACAGTAATTATGGACAAGGTAGATTATAGTGGAAAAATGAACATGTTATTACGTGCCTCTTATCTCCTTCAGGAGCCTAGGAGCTATATTTAAACTCTCAAAAAACTTCAGAAGCTGTAGATCAACACCTTCGATAGTTATGTTATAAAGACAATTTGCGAAATAAGGTTTACTGGGACTACGTTTAACTCCGTGGAGAAAATAATAATATTTTTTTATTTTCTCAAGATTCATAGTTTTTACAAAATTGGATGACATTTAGTAGAACACACTGGAAGCCCCTGGTTACTCAAAGCATTTCGGGTAAACTAAAATCTAAAATAAGACTACTGGAACATGATAGAACATAAACATTGTACATGTATGTATACAATGAACTTCACAAACATACATACATGAAAGAAGATTAAAAGTGCAGCTTAGAACATGACAGTAAGGAAAATTTAGTTAAATTTCACCTAAATAAATAATGTGCTTTCTGTGACTTGATAAAGCTCAACCACGGGCGAAATGTAGTTCCGATAAACGCTTGTTATCAAGACCCAGGAGCTTCACCTTAACACTGGAGAAGTCTAGCACTGTAGGTTAACACCCTCAAATTTCTCAGAACCTGCAGATCAACAGTCTCAAGAGGAAATGAGTCAACACCCTCAAGAGGCCCAGGTGCCGGTGTTCAACCCAGTCAAATACTGTGAAAATATAATGAGATCAGTGAGAGACAGGTAGGCAGGCACTCACGCACGTACTCACGCACGCACGCACGCACGCACGCACGCACAAATGCGCTCACACCTTGAATATGTTTCACTCTTGGATTGCCTGTCCCCCTTCTTAACTACGATTTCTGAACAGATTACGGAACAGAGCTAGATTGCTTGTCTCTTGCCTGGATCGGACCTGGATAGACCTATCATTCCAGCAGAGCCTTCACCACTGAGAGGCGGGGGGATGATTCTTCAAGACCAACAGTTAGGTAACTTTATTCCGAAACGTTTCGCCTACGCAGTAGGCTTCTTCAGTCAAATACAGAAAGTAGGCAGGAACAGTAGAGATGTGAAGACGATGTAATCAGTCCATCACCCTTGAAGTCGTAGAATTTGAGGTTGTCAGTCCCTCAGCCTGGAGAAGTTCAGTTTCATAGTCAGGAAATATTTCCTGATAGAGTGGGCAGTCTAATAGAATGTGGCTAACAGGTAATGGAACCTGACATTTCTCATAGAGAGGAACAGGGCGCCTCTCCATGAGATACCCGTGAGTAAGACGAGTGTGGCCAATGCGAAGACAGGAGAGAGTAGTCTCTCAACCTCGACACTGATGACAAGAAGACGGCTAGTAACCTAGACTCGGTTTAATAGAATGAAGTCTGTTATTGAGCAGATCAGACCAACGTTGTTGCCAATGGGTGTGAAGGTGGGTAGCAATTACAGCCAAATAGTCCGTGAATGGAACACCTCTATATGAAGATTGAGACGCTTATGCACCCTATGGGAATCTTTATTTAGGAAACGTTTCGCCACACAGGGGCTTCATCAGCCCAATACAAAGCATAGAGGTGCAAGAAGAGGAGATTGAGGTAATCAGTCCCTCAGCCTGGAGTAGATGTGTTCAGTCCATCAATCTTGTAGATTGTACAGCATAGGGCCGTAGACGTGGCTTATATACTGTAGTCAGGCGAGGCGAAGCAGGGGGAGGCGGGGTCATAGTGGTACCATCCACTAGTCGAAGTAGGTCTTCGTCCAAAGGTAGGACAAGTTGGAGAATTCTTTGTATCAAGATCCCATGATGATTCAGTGTCTGTCAGACACTGTTGCTTTTCAAAACCATTCATCACACCTCTATATGAAACTGGAAGGTCATGTACTGCTGACCGTGCAACAGTGTCTGCCTGTTCATTGCCCTGTACATCAACATGACCAGGGACCCAACAAAAAACAACATCTTTATGCTTGGTAGAGATACGGCATAACCAAAGTTGGATACGGAGAACTAGGGGATGAGGCGTATCAAATTTTTGTATAGCCTGTAAAGCATTAAGGGAGTCTGAAACCACCACAAATGGTGACACAGGCATAAATGCAATACGGATAAGTGCTACAAGAATGGCATACAATTCAGCAATAAAAATGCCAGCCAAGGGTAGTAAATGCCCACGCACGAAACTGTCCAGAAACACTGCTGTGAATCCGATGCCGTCAGAAAACTTAGAGCCATCTGTGTATACAGCGATGGCATGAGAATGAGAGTGGAAGTGGTCAAACAAAAGAGAACAGGAAGCTACCGTAGGCAGTTGGACTTTTGCGCAAGGGAGTGATAAAGAACAGACTCGAACAGCCGGAACTTCCCAGGGGAGCAGGGAAAAGTGAGATGCGACATGAACATAGAAAGGTGGTAACTGAAGGGAAGACGAGCGAATGGAGGCGAAGAGAAAAGGGATGGAGTAAACAGGGACTATGAACAAATAAAGAATGTCTACTAACATTGGTGACTATTCTGTATATGGATGGGTTGTGGAGATTATGAGAGCGAACCTAGTAGCAAAGGCAATGGGCATCATGGCGATCGGACAAGGGTGGAATAGTCGCTTCTGCATAGAGGCTCTCAACAGGGAAAGAGCGAAAAGCACCGAGGCATAAACGTAATCCCTGGTGATGGATGGGATTAAGGCTAGAGAGAGTAGAAGGAGAGGCCGCTGAATAGATCTGGTCACCATAATCGAGTTTCGATAAAATGAGGGCTGAATGTAGGTGAAGGAGAGTTTGACGATCAGCTCCCCATGAAAGATGAGCAAGGGTTTTAAGAAGGTTCAGTCGGCTGTGGCAAGTTGTCTTCAGAGAGGTATGTGAGGCTTCCAGGATAACCTACGGTCAAAGGGAAGGCCTA